GGTGTCAGGGGAGGAGCGTCAGGGGGAAGGTGTCAGGGGAGGAGCGTCCCGGGGGGGGGTGTCAGGGGAGGAGCGTCAGGGGGAAGGTGTCAGGGGAGGAGCGTCCCGGGGGGGGGTGTCAGGGGAGGAGCGTCCCGGGGGGGGGAAGCGTCCTGGAGGGGGCACCGCCGGCTGTTGGGGGCGTCCTGGGGCGGTGGAGGTGCCGGCGCGGGCGCAAGGGCGACAGGGACGGCAGCCGGCCCCGCGGACTCACAGTAAATGAAAGCGAGGGCCCTCAGGAGCACGATCCTGGTCAGCCAGAAAGTGCCCGTGCGGAGGCGAGCGGGGCAGCCTGTGGGGTCGCGCCCTGGCCCCGGCGGAGCCCCAGACTCGGGGCCCGAGCTCCCCGCCTTCCGCCTCCTCAGCGTCTCCTCGGGCGCCGCCATCGAGGGGCCTCCAGTGCGCATGCGCGGGGATCGCCACGCGCCCGGACGCCCCACCCACACGGGGAGGCCGCTCGGGTCCCGACTGGCCGCGCTTAGGGGCGGGGCGCGCGCTCCAGGCCCGGGCGCGCGCGCGCCCCCCACAGGCCGCACGGGGCGCTGCAGCAGCGAGGGCCAGGCGCGGGCAGGTACCTGCTCTACCCAAGTGCAGTCCACCCGGAAAGGGGCTGAGCATCGGCTCACTCCCCAGCCAACGCCGCAGCAGTTCCCGGCGCACTTCCCGCGCCTAGGCCACTGCCCTCATGGGCCCTCACCCTGAGGTTGCTGGAAAGCTTGTGCCTGGCCAGGACCAGGGTGGGCAGCAGAGGCCCCCTGCGGGGTACAGGAGGCATTCTGGCAGAGGAGCGGCCGGAGCAGGGACTTCACCCCAGGGCTCCGGCTTCCCGCTCAGGGTACGTGGCCAGGTGTCTCACAGGTGCCCCCTTCCCAGCCCCTCATCCCCACCGTTGGAGGAGAGTGTTGGGACGACAGGCACAGGGCTAACGAGGGGCGGCACAGTAAGCGGCCGCATCCTGAAATTCAGCCGCCCCACCCCCACCCCCACCCCGGCCCAGGCCAGCAACCCCCCTTCCGCAGCAGCACACTCCTACCAGCTCTCCAGGCTGGCCCTCCAGACACGGGGGGAAGTGGGGCACTGACGATTCACAGCAAAGGGGAACTTACCCACTAACGGCCCAGTGGACCCCTGGTGAGAACACCAGCAACTCCAGGTTCTGAGGGCAGAGCCGCCCAGGCGCTCCCTAAGGGCGGTGTGCCAAGTGCATGGACTCCTTAGGAAACAGAAGGGTGCACAGCACTGGGTACACGTTACACCTCCGGCGGTTAACGGGCAAACCGTGAGGTACTTGGAGCAAATCATTGAGGTAGGAGTGGCTTTTTCATTCTTCACAGCTCTTTACATATCAAAGACCAGATTCTCGTGTGTATATTGCAAATGTTTGTCCTGGGTTTTTGTTTTGACTTCTTGTTCCGGAGTGTTTTGACATATAAATGATTGATACTTGTGTGGTCAAATGATCAGTCTTTCTTGTTGTTTAATGACACCTTTACCACATGCAGTGTGAGCTCCATGAAGACCCAGGCTCCCCCAAATCTAGGTCAGACCCGCAACCACTGGAACCCTTCTTCAGCCTCCAGCTGTCCCCAACAATGCAGGTCGGGGACATATGCACATACATGCACCTTATAGTGTGAGGGTTTTTTTAAGTGCCCCCCCCCCCAGAACCCAACTGTGAAGTGGGACATGTAACAGATTGGCTGGGGGGGAGGGGCCAAACATCTTCTGCATCCCGGTGAGCCCTCGGTGGGGGGAGGCGTGTGCCCAAGGGCTCCCAGTCTTGGGATCAGAGGGACAGTTATTCCTGATCCACACTTCCAGGTCCTTCTGGGCGAACCCGCAACACGCACCTCTCCTCTCCAGCATCCGGCTCCTGCGCTTGGGATGGGCCAGCACAGCTGTTTGGGAGAGTCCAGCACCCTGAGCCTGAGCCCCCTCGAGTGTCCAGGCATCCCCTAGATGCGGGAGGTGCTCAGGGGACGGAAGCCCTGACTGCCATCAGGTGTGACCCTGGGTGCTGCTTTTCAGGTGGGGACATGCCTCACAAAGGGCCCTTTGTCCTCAGCTTCCCCAGCCCAAGTTGCATTGTTCTCCCCAGGGAAGGGCACAATGGGGCATTGTGCAGAACAGAAAAGGGCCCTTGTCCGTCATCCAGCTCCCTGGGCTCCAGGCTCCCTCTCTGGGTTTACCCAGGGTGGGCGAGGCCCTCAGAGAGGTCTTCTGGGAGCTCGTGTTCTGCTCTCTCCTCCAGGACCACCTTGCTGGGAGCTGACTGCAGAGGTGCAGTGTGTCTGAGGGGCCAGAACCCACGTGGCAGTGGATGTCATGGAGCCAGGAAAGGCTGGCCAGTAGCTCAGTGCTTGCCTGCCTCTGCCTGAGTTTAATCAAAAGCGCACGGGTGTTATTCGGCCATAAAAAGGAGTGAAGTATTGATGCCTACCGCGATCTAAATGAACCTCACAAACACCATGCCAACCACAGCCTGGGTGGCTCATCTGACTTTGGCTCAGGTTTGTGGGTTCTCACAGTGGGTTCGAGCCCCATCTCAGGCTCTGTGCTGACAGTTCGGAGCCCGGAGCCTGCTTTGGATTGTGTCTCCCTCTCTCTCTCTGACCCTCCCCTCCTCACACTCTATATCTGTCTCTTTCAAAAATGAATAGGGGCGCCTGGGTGGCTTAGTCGGTTAAGCGTCCGACTTTCGCTTGGGTCATGATCTCGCGGTTCGTGGGTTCGAGCCCCGCGTCGGGCTCTGAGCTGACTGCCAGCTCAGAGCCTGGAGCCTGTTTCAGAGTCTGTGACTCCCTCTCTCTCTGACCCTCCCCCTGCTCATGCTGTCTCTCTCTCTCTCCTAGAAATAAATAAAACATTTTTTAAAAAATGAATAAACATTAAAAATTTAAAAATATATCATGCTAAGTGAGAGTACCAGACACACAAGGCCACGTGTTGTCTGACTACACTTATATGAAATGTCCAGGACAAGCAAATCCAGGGACAGAAAGTAGATGAGTGTCGTCTAGGGCTGGGGGCGGGGGGCCGAGGGAAAGACTGCTACTCGGGGCACAGTTCTCTTGTGGCATGACAGAAGTATTCTAGAGCTGGACAGAGGCAATGGGCGTTCACCACTGCGAATGCGCTGAGTGCCGCTGACCCGTACCTTGAAAATGCTTAACTGTGAGGCCATGTGAATTTCACTTCAATAATAATATAGTAATAATAACAACACGCTATGTTGTATCAGACTCTCCTAGAAGGCACTCTTTTTACACCTTGGGTGGAATACATCCTGTCATTTACAGCAAACTTACCTCTTCCCCCTTGCGCCCCCCCTAGAGCATCTTCCAACTTTTGCATATTTAGATGTGGGGGCCTCTGATCCTCCCAGAAGGCACCCCGCTTAAAAACCAAACCTTTTTTGTAAACCTTGAGGCTGGTGCTGGGGAGACACAGGAGGGCTTCCCCACAGTGCGGGGGCTCAAGGCCCAGCACACGAGGGTTTCTCCAGAGCAGCCTTCCACCCGCGCCAGGAGCCTGGGGCACACGGCTCCTAAATAAAAAACTAGACAAGAAAAAGTCAAGCTGGTTACCGAGGCGCCCGTGTGGAGCCCCGTGTGGACAGAGCCAGGGAGGAAGAGCCCAGAAAAGGACGAGAGGGGAGAAAGGGAGGCTTCCCCGAGAGGACCCGTCAGCTCACGTCCAGGGCTGGTGTCACGGAGACCCTGAGACGAGCCAGAAACCCTGCAGGGGCTTGTCCCGGGGGGGGTATCCACGGCTCCTCGGGGACAGCCCCAGAGCCGAGGCCACGCAGGCCCACAGGCTGGCTGTACTCCCAGCAGCTGCGGGACGGCTTCTCGGAGGAATGAGCCCCGCGTCGGCACCTCGTCCAGCTGTCCCCAGGCACCCTGGCTTGGCAGCCCCCACTGCATCAGGACAACTGTCCCTGACGTGCATCTGCAGCTGTCTCTGGCACCCACCGGGACCCAGCTTGGGCCCGACCGAATCACCCACCCTTCATTTACCCCAATTTTTCATGTCCTGACATCTGTTGGTGAGGGAACAGAACCCACGGGTGCTAACATCTGTCACTTTCTTCTGGAGGGGTGGTCAGTCTGGGCGGGTCCCACCCTGACTGTCCAGCGGCCAAGACCCCGGGCGATGCTGGCAGGTGCAGGTGGGGGGGGGCGAGCAGGTGCTGGGCCATTTGCTGGCTTTCTGGAACTGTGACTCACGGACGGCTGTTCTGCTTGGCTCAGCCGTCCCCTCTCCCGGCACCTCGGCTCGGGGCCACGAGCACTCCCACGCCTGCACCGCAGAGGGAGACGTGGCCCCGTGTGGCCCTGCACGCTGTGCGCCACGACTGCGAGGCAGAGAGGAGAGCACAGTGTCCCAGGGCCCATACATTCCGTGGCTGTAGAGCCTTCCGGGGCAAGACAATGTGCGGCCAAGTGTTTTCTCTGAGAGTCAGGTGCTGACAGGGAAGAAGTTTTGGAAACCGCCCGGGGCCAGGGGCCACAAACAGCAGACCCGCAGGCTGAATTCTGCCCCCAGGGCTGTGTCAGTCACCGGCCACCAAGATAATGCTGCGTAGCAAACAGCCTCGAAGCCAAAAATCATTGCGTTGGCCCACGGTGCTACCCGTCGAGCAGGGCTTGGGCGCGTCTGCGGTCAGCGGGGCCCTGGCTGGCCCTCAGGATGACCAGGGCCCCTTTCCAGCCACCCACAGGCCCCAGGACTCCTTACAGCCTCACCCACAGCAGACTCCACACTCCCCTCTGGACCAGGCTCCAGAAGGCACCCACATCCAAGCCCCCGGTTTGGTCCAAACCTCTTACTTCGTAGGCGGGACTACGGGCTGCCCCAACACCACCCACCACTGGGTCTCACTTCCTACGACTCACCCAGTGATTGAAGCAGACACTTCATTTGTGAACAGAATGGGTGGCGTTCCTATTAGATGTTTTCCCTGAAGACAAGAGGTGGGCCCAGCGGTGGGGACGGGCTCTGGAAGTCGCTAGCTCAGAGCGACGAGGGGTCACAAACCGAGAAAGGATAAAGACGAGGCGCTGCAGGCCCCGGCACCCCCACACATCAGCTCACGGAGGGCCCCCGCTCACCCCGCAGAAGGGACAGGCATTCTGGACCCCTCTGCTGCCCAGAGCACCCCCGGGACTCAGACGAAGTCAAAGGGCCGCAGGGGACGGCATGGGGGGGTCCTCTGCAACTCCTTCCTACCCCGTTCCACACCCTCCAGGCAGGAGGCAGGGCCGGGTGGCCCGTGCACCACTCCCGGGCACCTCCTTTCACGCTTTACTAGAACGCTCGGCCAGCAGAAGCCGTTGAGGGTTTGCAACCAAGGGAGCAGGCGGGGTCTGTGCCAGCCAGAGCGCCAGGCCCCAGGGGACCGGGGCGGAGCAGCC